TATTTTATACAATATATGCTTTTTTGCACATACATTTTTATTTAAGTACAAATGTTATTTCAAATAAAATACTGTACTGTACAGTGTGTATGAACTGCTTGGTCCTATCATATTATATATTTTAAATTATAATGTACACATGAATCCTACAAAATAAAATAATGATTCACGTTTTTTTCGTAAAGTATTACAGTTTCATCACGTAAACCGAGTAATTGTCATAATAAGGTTACCAGTAAATTCAGTGCTTAAAGAAAGAAACGATCGAAACATATTCATTAAGACTAATTAACATTCTAAACGGTATGATTCAGTATTTTGTGTTATTGTTAATAATTTATATAAATATACAGCTTTTTATATCAATTCAAGTTTAAATGACTCTCTAATAACCCCTCACTAAACTTGTTTTTTTTTTATGCGAAAAGTTGTCAAACGAGCGGACGGTTCACCTGATGTTAAGTGAATACCGCCGCCCATAGACATCTGCTCACCCGAGGGTTTGCAGATGCGTTGACTACCTTTTGAAAATTGGACCTATTGAAAACTACCCGTCCAGAAGACATTATTTTTATACAATCTCTATTTATAATGTTGTTTTAGCAATTAATCCTTTGTTATTGAATAAAGCACGATTTTATCTTCTACTGACTAAAATAGTAATAAAAAGGTAATTTTTAATATAATGTATGTTCTAACCTACCACAACTGTGTAAACCCCTTTACTAGATGAGAAACGGAGTACAGTTCACCTGGTGTGAAGCAAATTCCACCGCTCTTATACAACCACGACAACATAGAGGTTGCAGAGGCGTTGCCAATCTTGAGGGTACGTGGAGAGCCACACACAGAAGAAACGTAAAATAACTTATACTGAACTTAACTTCAAAAGAAGCCGCACCTTAGCTCTAACGCCGAGAAATAACAACAATTGTAGTATACTCGTATCTATATTCTAGTGGTCACATTGTTTCAGCATAATGAGCACCGATCATGTGAACCCATTTCCCCTAGAAGAGGAGTACCAGAAGAAAACGGGCATCTCCCCGCAGGACATTGGCAAGTTGCGGACGTGGCTCGCCACGCAACCGCATCTGCCGGGCAACCACATTACAGGTATCCTAGTTATAGATTCTCACAAATTCAATTTAAAACAGGACGCTCATGTTGGAAACATTGACTGAGCCTTAAATATAGACTATATAATTATAATGTACCTTAAGCTTGGTATTTCACTGTTCGCCTTTAAATTAAATGGTACTTTTAACGTAAATTTTCTGAATTATATTCTATTATAATATTACTACTGTGCTGACTCCGCTGTTGCATGAATAGGCAGGCTCGTCTTGGTGAACTAACAACTCGTCGCTAAAAATAACAAAATACTCGCGGAACCTCCCTTCAAATCCGACGCATACATCATTATTACATTGAAGAGAGGCGTATTGTCTTAATTGAACTTATATAGAACTAGCGGCCCGCCCCGGCTTCGCACGGATATTTAACAAAATTTTTAAAAGTAAAAATTATCATACACACACATAAAACCTTCCGAATATTTCGTCTTTGGGGAATAATTTTATGAATTTCTTCATCTTTTAACTCTTGAAATTACGTCACGTAAAAGTGACAAATAAGTCTGGTCTCCCATAACTTCGAACATAAATCATCGCATCTCTGGTTTTTTTGTTGACCGATGTCTGATGATCCGATGTTTGATGAGCCAATGTCTTGATTTAAAGCGTCTCTAAGATGAATGTTTCACCAGCCCTCAGTCTCTGGTGATTACGACATCATATTTAATTCAATCTTTATATGTTTTTGCCATCATATCATATATACAATATACAAACATTTTTAAACTTGCAATATCTAAGGAATGGAATGTCCGAATTTAATAAATCAAAAAGTTATATAAAGATATTGAAACAGTCTTAAATATGAAGTAATTTATTTTTATAAGGATTAATACCAAGATACAAATAAACAGCCTTTGTTAGCGGCGGCGTTTCAATCAAAATTTTAAAATAAAAGAACACTTATTGTGGCATAACTATAATAGTTAGACATATGCTGTCGCGACACTTTTTGTAAATAATGATGTGGTCTGTACATTATTCTATTCTATCATCAATAGTTTTCGCAGCGCACGCGATGTAAAGAATATTCTAGGTAATTTTTTTACACCTTGAGTAACATTATTGGAGTTTTAGTAAGGATCCCTATTTTTTTTGAAAATATAATATAGCCCATGTCAAGCAGGGATAATGTAGCTTCTCAACAGTGAAAGAATTTTTCAAATCGGTTTAGTAGTTTCGGAGCCTATTCGATACATACAAACAATCAAATCTTTCCTCATTATGTAATAGAAGAATTGAGTTTTTTTTCTTTTTGCCTAGTTAGATAATAGCTACCGATCGAGCCGAGGTCCGGCCCTCTCGGGCACCCTCGAATCAATGCTAAACGCGTGCTGAGTGACAGCCCAAGCCGAGGTCCCCTCTCGGGGACCCTTGAGCCTGATCACTCCATGGAGCGTCCGCCAAAGCGCCCTAAGAGCTTGGCGGCCTCCCAAACCGGTGAAACTAATAGCGTGACGGCCCGAGCCGAGGTTCCTTCGGGAGCCCTCGAGCTTAGTCACCATAACGCGTAATAAAAATACGCGAGGTTCAGGCTAGGCGCCTCGAGCGCCCGGCTACCTCAAGTCCGTCGGATATGTAAAGGCCCCTATGGCCAACAGTGGCTCAACCAGCCCAAACAAAAAAATAACTTGGTTCATATTTCCGAACTGCGTTTAAGAAAGCATTCCGAAAATATCTTGGCAATTCCATACATTTTGAGAATTACCAGGCCTTAATATTATTAGGTATATAGAGCAGGCCTTTGTTGAGCTGTGGGGCATTTACATAATTATATAATGGTAGTTTATACTTTAATAATGAGTAACAAACCTTTAGATTCTTAATTTAAAACATTTAGGAGTATGTTTTAGAACATGCTTGAACAGCTATATTAACAGTCACCCGGTAAATCCAACGATGTTGGCCCTGTTCAAAACATAATTTGGAATTAAAATATTTTTCACTTACGTGAGAAGCCGCATTTACATATTATTAAGCAGATTACGAAGGACTCATGACATCAGATTAAGTACGGTATCTACACAGTATAATTGGGGCGGTTATGATAATTAATGTGTGTATTGTCGACAAATAGATGTAATTCATACATTACATTTTACGTTTTAAACAACCCAAGTTATATATTGACTTGGGTTGTTTCAAATGTAATAAAACATCAACAGAAAACGTCAGATTAGAATGATAAGTGAAAATGAAAATTGGCCGTAATAACAGACATCGTAACAGGACGTATTATTATTATGCCTTCATGGTAATGTGTAGGGTGCTATATCAATTATTCGGTTGTAATGGCACGTTATGAGATGTAATAAAGCATCATCACGCAGAATTGCAAAAGTCAAGGTGACAATCACTGACTCTTTATTTGTGAAAAATACATTAAATACAATTTATATTTATGTACAAAACGTTACAATAGTTATTAACAGAGCTTGGCTCCAATGCTCAAATATGTATGTCATGTTACAAAACAATTATCATGTTAAATTAAAACACAAAAGCATAAAATTAAAAGGAATTAATTATTTTATTTATTTATGTATTAATTGTACACGAAACACAAGAACCAAAAAAAAAATAAAAATGTAAGTTATGTACAAAAGGTAAGCTTAACTCAATGCACGAGTTCTCTAACCAGCTAATCTGGTGAGAAAAATATTTGAGTGAAGTTTGAAATGTGTTAAGAAAAGCTGGAATTGTGTTCAGTGCACACAGATATTTCTATAACATACCATACATAAATACATACATCAATATATCTATATAGATATTACATAACATACACATAATATATCTATACTATATTATAATGAGGAATGATTTGATTGTTTGTATGTATTGAATAGGCCCCGAAACTACTGAACCGATTTGAAAAATTTTTTCACTGTTGGGAAGCTACATTATCCCCGGATGACATAGGCTATATTATATTTTCAAAAAAAATAGGGATCCTTACTAAAACTTCAATAATGTAACCCAAAGTGTACAAAAATTACCTAAAATATTCTTTTCATCTGCGAAAACTATTGATGATAGAATAATGTACTACGAATTTGGTGAACACATCATTATTACCAAAAAGTGTCGTGAGAGCACATGTCTAACTATTATAGTATAGGGAGACACACGCTAAGAAAAAAAATAGGTAAAAACGAACCTTGTAAATGTAAAGATATTATTTATTATCAACGTTGCACCAGTTTCAAATGAGGACCGGTTGACATCTACTCGACCGGACAGGTCTTATAGTTGTTTAATGTTATTTTTTGTGTTATTATATTTTGTAGCGTTTGGGATCTAAAAATATGCTGTGACTACATAAAAACATTCTCGACTGTCCTCCTTGAATATCCTTCACAACATTCCGTATTATACCACGCTTCATTAATTTGGCCGCCTAGTTACCTTAAGCGGTTTTGCCTCATTATTTAACTCCGTCATAAAAATCCTTCGGTTATTTTTAAACACAAATTCAAACGAATCGCACCAAACTTTTTTTATGATACCAAAACATTTTCTGTCAAAAACCAGTTGCCGTATAGTTCCGTAAAATTGTTTACATGAACGATCTGTTCGAGAAAATTATTACTTGTATTTGTTGTTGACCTCGGCGGTCATCTAACTTAGTTTGAACCTTGGAGCAGCAAATAATTCTTCGACCATTTATCCAAACATTTTGACATCTTAAGTGCAGAGACCAGCACTAAAACTAAGAACATTTTATCAGACGAATGAAATCTTCAGTGACAAAGCCATGCAAAAATGTTATGTTTCACGAATGGGCAGGCTCGCCGGGGGAAGTACCACACCCTCACAGCAGACCAGCGTGAACTGGAAGTGTTACACTTTCGCGTTTTTTATATTTTATTCTACAATGGATTTTTAACCATAAACGTTCCATCTCACACTAAAATATTACAGTGTTTCCCGCGTTAATTGCAAGATATCGATGTTATGGTTTAGGTATCGTTTCAGATCTAGACTTAGTTCTGACATACCACTGCTGCAACCGAAGCTTAGGTGTGTCCAAGCAAGTCCTCGATCTGCACTACACACTGCGGACCCTTTTCACCAACTACTTCAAAGATCGAACGGTGGAAGATATCGAACAAGTCTTGCGCACATTGTAAGTTCACAGTATACTTAAACAATAAGTAAAAGACGGACTTTAAATAATAATTATAATTGCAGCCCGTTTTCCGCAATTGTTGGCAACTTTTCATTAACTTAGACAAGTATTTAGAATATCCTAAAGATAATTTTGGTCCATTTCCATTTTCGACGCCGAAAAATTATTGTCGTCTCCCTAATTTAAATAAATAAAAAATCTCATTCTCTTACCTGAATGACACTAATTACATTTGTTGTTTTGCCATCAATTTATTATTGCCAGTTTATTATTAACTTGGCTGTATTTGAAATCAATAATATTTTCTCCAAAACTTAGCATAATTTATTTTCCTTGGTTTATTAAAACATTTAGAAAAAGTACGAAAAGATTGTCACCGCTGTGGGAATCGAACCCACGTCTTCGGCATTCGCGGCCTGACGCTCTAGCCACTGAGCTAAACGGCTGATTGCCACACCGACGAAAATGTTCAATCTTAAGTGCAAATATTAGCACTATAAACAATTAAAATTAATAAAACCTTAACGAAAAATACTTTAAAATTTTCAGGCTGCTCACTCCCCTGCCGATGCGCTGTGACGACGGATCGGCGATCCTGTTCACTCACTTCATGGATAGTGACCCGACAAATTTCAATATCGGCGAAACTATAAAGTAAGCTTCTTTTGGTGGATAGTTATAAATTTGAGTGCTGTTTACTATATGGCCACATGGCTGTTAAGTCGACATCGGTTATGATTAAGGTTAAATTCGTCGTCCTCCTGCCCTTATCCCACTTAGGTGGGGTCTCCCCAATATGTGAATCATGTTGCAAAGGTTTAAAAATTTTAATTAGTTTATAAATGTTGTTAGTTGAGTTACATTGATGCATGTAATACAGTAGCTCTCTTACAGTAGTGACCTCTGCAAAGTCGTGAAGTAATGCTGTGATTGACACAATGTTAAACTCTACATGCTATTGGCAACATGACCCTTTAAGGTTTCCGCGCATCGAGTAAAGACTACGATTGGAAGGCTTCGTTTTCTTATGATCTTCCCCACAGAACGGTGCTCATGATAATGGACCTTTGGCAGTACGAAGAAGGCACGTGGCCTGGATTCGTCATGGTCGTCGACTTTAACGGAATGACTCTCGCCCACGTCGCCAGGCTTGACCTGCAGAACATTCAGCAGTTCTTGTATTACCTACAGGTAAGATCGGACAGGAGCACTGAGTAAACACTCTAGGTATGTTATTTGTCGTCAGTACCTTCTCGGTGTTTTCTCGTTGGAAAATTATGTATTAAACGAAATAAGTATTACCTAATCGACTGGAGCCAGAGACACTATCCACTTTGCTTTGCTTTCTTTCAAGTTTAAATATCGGGAAATTAACTAACGGAAAATAACGGAATTACAACAAATTTACTACTTTTAAACCTTAAAAATAATTTTATTTCATTACTTTTCAAGACAATGTCCGAAAATAGAAATAATTAATAACGTAGGAATATTGATGGCAATACATTGCATTCGCTATTGGGTACTGTCTGCTACCTAACTAAACGTACTACTAACATATTCTCAGCTTATCGAACTTTGTAGAGCGCAGTTTATTTTAAAGCGAAAGATTGTACTCGTATAGAAAAGCAGTACAGTATCAGAATAACCACTATACATCCGTAAACAATAACAAACACCCTCATTTGTTGTTTGCCGAAAAGAACAAAACAATTTCTTCTAACATTGTTCTCTGTTTTTAACATTGACTAGTTTGGTTGCTTTTTTAATAGTATTTGTCGCACAGTTTCACTGCGATCACAAAGATTAACTCTACCTGAATTTACCTTCCATAAAAGGCTTAATTCGAAATTTAGCGTGTCATCCTCATCATTTCAACCTGTTTATGCCCCGACTAGACATAGGCCTTCCCGACAGGCTGCCACAAACCACAATCCACATATTATCCATTACCAGGTGTCAGTTCCGTAGGTGATCACTGGCAACACAATTGAAAACTCTAGTCATCAAAAATTAAAGGGTATCGGACGATATTCAATGTGTATCAAAGTCAATTTTAATAAGTTAAATCATTTAAACGCAAAACAGTGTTGCATCAAATTACTACCGGAATAACGAATTCTAATTAAACTCGATTTAAAGCTGTACAAAGTGTTCTAAAAGTAAAAAAATGTATAAAGTTATCAAGACAAGTGTAACTTCTATTTATTGCTATGTATATAGAAACCAAACCGCATAATGGAAAGAGTTTTTTTGAAATTTACACGATTCTAACAAACAGACTGATTGTCGCTTACATACATACAATAACAGAACAAAAAAAATCACTAGTTTCTACAATTTATTAAACAAAGCCTAAGATCAAGAATGAATATGTCTAAAAATTCACCATGGGCCATATTAACACTAGAATAAGCCACAGACTACTCGGTGGACTAAGAAATCAACGCTTGAGAATAAATCCGTTGTCGCTGACGTAATTGGCGCCGGTGATACTTTTGGCCTTATCACTGGCGAGGAACCCGATCAGATCGGCGATCTCCTCCGGCTGCCCCACTCGCTTGAGAGCCGTGGTGGGCTCGAAGTCCGCCCAAGAGTAGGCCGAGTCGGGGACGCCCGAGTTCGACATGATGTCCGTCACGACCGGCCCGGGGCTAACGGTGTTCGCCCTCACGCCGTATTCCCCAAGTTCCAAAGCGACGCACTGAGTGAACATATTCAGAGCCGCCTTGGATATGCTGTAGGACGTCAGCGCGGGCTTGGTTGGCGTAACTACACCACCGACGCTGGACACGTTCACGATGTTGCCTTTGCTCTCCAACAAATGCTCGACGCAAAGAGTGGTGAGGTGTATGGCGCCGCGCAAGTTCGTCGCCATCACTTGGTCGTAGGCGCTCAAAATGTTGCCCATGCCGACGCTACCGAAGCGCACGATGCCAGCGTTGTTCACGAGCACATCGATCTTGCCGAATTCGCTCACGGTCCGATCGACGATGCTCTTCGCTTGGGCCTCTTGCGAGACGTCCGCCTTCACAACGAGGTGCCTCGAGACGCAACGCGAAGCGACATCGTTAAGCTTCGTCTCGTTCCTCCCCACAAGCGTCACGTGTGCCCCTTCTTTCGAAAAGAGGACGGCTGTCGCTGCCCCAATCCCGGAACTGGCTCCTGTCACGATCACAACTTTGCCTTCGAAACTCATCTTCACAGCATGCGACGCTTATCCTTTGCGTCTCGAACAGGTACGTTTCCGTAGCGTCGAGTTTGAAGACTAAAGAGGACAGTTCAAGCAACAATGTTATAAATGGCTCCTAATTTGTTTGCGTATTAGAAATTCCTTAGAATCACCGCAGATAGTTACGACTTGAAACTAATTCAACTTAACTCATAATTGAACTTTCTATTAGAATAACTAAATGGTATTTAAGAACACGAATATTAATTACTCATTAAGAAATCGACCAAAATGAACAAAGCAACATTATAGACGTCTTAAAGGAAAACTAACATTATTTATCAATTAAAACCTCACAATGGTATTCAGTATTTAGGCAATTAATTTTATCATGATGGACATAACAATTGTCTTTAAAATGTACATTTATCTACATAAAAAGAATGATAATAAAAATAAGTTAAATATTTCGTACGTCATTTAATCGTTAATTTCACTTTACTATTGTACTTTGGTGCGACATAAATCTGAAATATTCCATGGGGGGTTTATGATATAGTTCAACATTTGCGAGTTTATAGTGGTAGTATTGAATGTTGATGTGACAAGGAAGCTGCTGAAAATAATGCCTTCAACGAATTGGCTGAAGTTGCAACAATGTTATTAACATTGCGTCATTAATATGCAGACGTAGAGCATGTATTTAGCCAATTTGAATTTTAATATTGAATTGGTCAAAACTAAACTTAGGAACAGTTTATCAACTTTCACATTAAATGTATTTTTACGTGTAAGATTTAATCCGAATCTTAGGAATCATCCGAAAAGGGTTAACAAATATTCCCACGAGGTTACTGACCAAATTTTGCGAAAAATAAGGACAAATGAAACTTATTCATCTATGTGTTTCGCTTCATTCCTACTCGCTACATCTATTCAAGAGGATACAGACAACTCGGGCACACGAACCTCACAAGCCGCACTACACACTATACACACAAACTAAAAACCACACATCTAACTACACTACATTTTAATTTCTTTATCTAATTGTTTGCGAAATTACTTCTTAAGTAGAGAAAAGCGAGTTTCTTAACACAGCCATCGTTCACTTAAATGGATGCTCTAACGACTGTGTGTATTCACAAAAAATTTTAAAGAGATAAATTGTTTGATTTGTTATATTGTTATTTGATTTTATAATAAATGCTCTTTCTTTCTGTTTGGCATATTTTTAAAATTTTACCATATTTGAAAATTTAGAATAAAATAATTTTTAGAGTTGGTATTACTGTTTGTTTTACTCGAAAGTTTAAAATGAAAACAAGAATTGAACAAAAAAGTGTATCAACCAAATTGAACATACAAAATTTATACTAGTATAAAGTATGTTTATACACCTGTTTACAGTTTTGTAGTAGGATAAGAAACAGACGAATCTTATATTCAGATGGCAGCCTCAAACTGGCCATCGTAGTGTGGGACGACCCCCCACTAGATGGAGTGACGACCTGTGGTGCAAATGTGCGGGAAGTCGAAGGATGTTCTATGTTCAGCAGTGGACTCAATCAGGCTGAAATGTTGATGATGATGATGATTCAGTTGAAAGTTGATAGATACATCACTCCATCATGGTTAATGTTATATGATCTTTATGCTTAAAAATGTTTAGATATAACTATCGCAATTTTTTTTTCGCCTTCAGTGTCGTAATAGCGTTATCGTTACACAAATTTATTTCAGGAAGCGATGTTAGTAAAGTTAAAGGGACTGCATTTCATGAATGCGCCCTCGTTCATCGACAAGGTCCTGCTGATGATGAGGCCGTTCATGAAGAAAGAGCTCATGGACGTTCTGTGCGTGCACCCGGTCGGCTCGGGGAGCCTCGGCCGACACGTGCCCATCGAGGCGCTACCGAGCGACGCCGGCGGCAGTTATAGCAAGATGGCGGAGTGTCAAGGTATATAATGTGTACAATAGATAATAAATCGTTTCTCTTTAAATTTATTTGGTATATTGATAATGAAGTATAACGTCTTTACCCCAACCCAATATAAACTTTAAAAAGAAATGCATATTTTTAAAGGTTTGTGTAAAAAGTTACGATATACCTATATTTGATGAAGACGCGAGAGTTAATGTCTCTGGCGCACAATATCTTGAGTGTTCTTAATACCGCAACCGGCTAGATTGTGGAATAATGATGAATAAATCAGAAAAAGGTCCCTAAAAAGTTTTACATTCTAGAATTTATGTTTTAACATGTAACATTAACGTTATGTTTTAACATGTCTGTATTGTAAAATCTATGCATAGGTATAGTTTTAATAAAGAAAAGTATTCATGTAAATACAAGAAGAATTGATTATAAAAAAAATATTTCAAATTCAATTACTTTTTCAGCTGCCGTTGCAGCCAAGATGCGGAACAACCGAGATTTCTTCGCACATGAGAACAAAAAGCGCGTCGTGGAGTCACTCCGCCCGGGCAAACCTAAAACTATATCCGATATATTCGGTTGTGTTGAAGGATCCTTTAAGAAACTTGACATTGACTGACAGATCGTTGCTTTTACCACTCGTTTTCGAATAGTTTTCAAGGCTCAGTGTGGTTTATATATTGTCGTACTTTTTGAGTTATGATTTTAATATTGTTACACAGGGAGGCTTTTCTAAGTGTATCCATTTTTTATTAAATTCTAGACATAAATAATGTTAATAAAAAATTATAAATATTTAAAATCACTCGTAATTAATTAATTACATTCATTTGAACTTATCTCAAAAAGTGCGTGATTTATACGCAACTCATTTATTTTACGCGCGCTCATTCATAATTAACACGCACCCAAGTTCGCTTCAATTGTCAACAAGTTCTGTTTTTTACGGAATAGAATTGCAATTTTTGAAGTGAAACTTCTTTATCGGGGTTGGAAAAAAATTTAGTGTAACATTTTTGCGTTACGCGCCATCTTTTTCTTATCTTAAAATGTTCCTCTAACGCCATCTAGTGTTGAATAGGGGGTTTTATGTCGTCTTTATTCTTTAGTGGTTTTAATAGTTGACGCTAGATGACGTTAGTTCCTTTGTGTGTTCATAACAATATATATATATGTTATATTAAAGTGATCAGCAAAATCAAAGGGTTTATTTTAATTCTAATTCTAAAATGTAAACAATATATTTCGTATTTCAGTTACCATAAGCCATTAATAACACAAATATATAATAACGACATCAATGATAGTAATAATTCTATTACAATTAATGAAATTCAATAATAATAGTTGTAGTAATGACAGTGCTAGCTCTAATACTTCAGAGCACGACACTGTAGAGACTTCCTCTTCTCCAAAGGCAGGCACCGCCCACCGTGTTCGCGCGCGAGTCGAATGTCTGCCTTCACTCACTGGCTGACTATTCGTCAACGAAGGACCATGTACAAATTCAAAGCGGTTGTATTTTGGGTCCGTGAGGTTAATTGAAATAAACAAGGTTCACGTTGCAAGTTTTTTAATCAACAATTTTTGCGGACCCTCATAGTAATTACAACGGTCAAACCATAGTGTGTTTTAATTTACTACTAACGCCACCTATGTATTACAAATAAGAAACTAAATATTATACAAAAGCCTTTTATTAAACTTTATCTAATTTAACTTTATTTAACCAATTTCTGTAAAGTTGCATATAGTAAATTATTTTTTGAAAAATAACGTCATAAAAAAGTTTCACTTCTTACGAGTGTACGCTAGTACACGCACACATTTTTTTTTGGAAAAAAAGTTTGTTTTTATTTCATTAAATATTAATACTAGGTTCCTAGTCTGAACCCCATGTGTGAATTTGAGCACCTTTAGAAAAGCCACCCTGTATATGTGTAGATGATTGGGTAAATAGGTATATATTAAAAAAAAAAACATATTTTGTAGAAAATCAATTTTGAAAAGCTGAAGGATAGAAAATGAGAAAACAGCTATTTAATAGCCGTTTATGTAATAAAATATAACTTTCGAACTTAGTAACACAGCATATTGCCTCGGTAATTTCAATTAATTCTTACTATTAATTTTTATTGACATTCTTTTTGTCATTTTATTTTTGGTACATTTAAACGATGAACATTGCTCTTAAAATTTTATTAGCTTCTAGCTTTGTTGATAGTGTCATGTGAATTTCAAAATGTCTGAAACTAAGAAATGTCGGCAGTATTTGAATCATGAATTTAGGCAACCACTACTACTCCAACAAACCACTATTACATATGTTTTATTTGGGATTTTTTTCTAAGGAAGCGAGGAAGCATGAATAAATTACAACCTGATAAAAAGTACAAAGATTGACACAATTCTGAAGGAATTGAAAAGAAGTAAAAAACCGAATTCTACGCCCGTGGTCAAAAGCAATCGTTTAATTCAAAAAGTGTTTATAAAAAAAATCAAAATCAACATTAATGACCAATCAATATTTACTGTAATGAAAATCATTTGGATCAGGCTCACTTATTCACCTGTTTTAGTTAATTTATACGCCAGTTATTGACCTGGTAAGTTTTTAGAACGTGCCATTTAGAAACATTACCAATGAAAACTTATTTTAAATTTTGAATATAGAAATCTTTGGTAACCAAATGTGATGATATATTGCATTTATTCGCCATGTTTTTGTGAATTGGCGGCAATTACAAGTCTTGTTCCACCTTATGTTTGTTATTCATTCATCTCATTCATAATAAATATGTTGTTTTCATTTGCTCTCTCTCTTTGTATAAAATATTAAAATAAAAGTACTTAAAGTGCAATAATCACGCTAAATACTATTATATTAATAATTACTTTGGATAATCCATCCCGAACCCCTCATAAATCAATTATTTCTATCATTAACACCTCAAAATTAATTTAACTACCAATAAAGAACCACCTATGTCGAGTCTTACTGAACAACAACTATGATATACTTCGATTGGAATTTCATAAAGATGCCCCACCCCATGCGTTTAAGCGTGGGCGCAGCAATCTCGGTGACGAGATGAGGGACGTCATTCAACAGCGACATCTGATGATAACATGAGTGCTATGCGACGCATGATACAGAAAGATAAGAGAGTGACCTACCAGCAGATTCGGGCAAGCTCATGCATTAGTATGAGTCAAGTACAAAAAATATTACACGAGTATTTAGGCGTCAGGAAGCTTTGTACCAAATTGACTCCGCAAATTTTAACCAGAGACGAAACACCTTCGCATGGATTGGTGTAGCGAATTTTTAGAACAGTTCAAGGGAGGTGACTCTAATGCTGCTTTTGACATCTTCACTGTTGTCTTGGAAAATGTTTAATAACAACATCCTCCTTTACCACGACAATGCAGCGGACTCCGCGAAACCTCAGTAGACACGTATCACAACACACTGCGGCGTGGTATTTTTTTTATATGAGAGTGACATACGAGCTGGTGGTTTACCGGATGTTTATTGTAAGGCTGCAAATTCGTTGCCACCTTTAGATAAAGTGGGCACCGGCTACCTCACTGACCAGAAGCAACGCAGAAGTGTAATACTTCTACTTAACGCCGGCCTTCTGAGGTCGTGGTACTTCACCGTACGGGCCTGCCCATTCGTGCAACAGCGAACTTCCCCCCTCACAGCGTGGTCCTACCACAATTGAATGTTTAAACAAGCCTTATAAACCTATCTACTCAGCACGCTCTCAATTTTTTATGAGAGCGAAATCCAAAATGATTTTAAATAAAGTAATACCAAATGGGCCAACCACAAAAGTCCGACGGGCCGCAGATTGAGTATGCGCTTTTTCAATCTATATGAATCGGTAGAAGACATATTTCCTTATAGATATTCCTTTGACCTTGAACACAGTCTATGAACTGCGCGGCAACTTAATTGCATCCAAAAATAACATCGCTTATTTGACAGACCTTTTTGATATTTAATGACGTTACTTTACAATTGAAAGGTGCTGAGTTTAACTTAATAAAAAAAAATCGCCAAAGCCGCTTTTAAAATTTCTATTCAAACGAGAACTCTGAAGAGGTGAATATAGCCCCTTTCCAACAGTGATATCACGAATAGAACTGAAGATTCTATGAGGGTTTTCACTTTTATTTGTAAATTTTAAATCACTGCTCGACATCAAAAAATTTTAACTAACAAAGTTAACTATGTACCTAACAAACACATAGAGGTTCGTTTTAAATCCTTGATTTTAAGCAGCAAACAATATACATGAGTGGTTTTGGACTAATATTGGACAAAAGATGTAAAATACGAGACTGATATACAGATAGAATAAAAAAGCAAAAACATGTAATAGCGATAGCACCAGTTTTAAACTGCTTGGCCTCATTTAAATTGAGTGCACCATGCCATCAAAAGCTGGATTTAACCAGTAAATGCAGTTAAACCCTGCTAACTTAACTGAAAATAACAATGCAATTAAATAATATTCCTTGTAATATTTGGAATTAATAAAAAAAACCTCTTAAAAGCTTATTTAAATAACTCTTTTCTACAAAAAAAAAATACAGTGCAGTTAGAGTTGAAAACTCATAAAACGCAATATTGTAAATTTCATCAATAAATGAAACAAGGTTTATATAGTCTTGCGAATATATTTCACAGAAACATAGTCGCCGTCAAGTTGCTCTTACACCAATATTGGAATAAAAAACCGCGAATGCCGCAAAACTGCAAAAGAGAACCCAATGATTAAGTTAGTTATTTTTAAAGTTCATAAATAAGTTTTGTCAATTGTTTTACAGTAGATACTGACCACTCCTGACCAATCCTGGTGCCAGCACTAATCAAAATGTAAGTTTTAATTGCTCACTAGGAATCATTGTCAGGACATGTGCATATCCTCAGGTTCACGCGGTGGAATAGGCCATGATACCCTCTGTACCAAAGGCTTTGCCTAGCACTGGGGCAAATGTAAGCCGTTACTTTATTAGCCTCGAAAATTTCCTATATTATTGACAGGACTACAGATTGTTATAGCATTTTCACTTTATTGACATTCATTTTAAAATCAAATCCTTGTGGCATTATGAAAAAAGGCAAATCGTTGGAGAAAGAGCAATCTCTATTACTACATTTTTTAAAAACACCTACAATTTAACTATTCATTTACAATGGTTTAAAAATATACGAAAAAAAAAAAAGGAGTTTTGTAGAAACATACCATGTAAAACTTGTTTAGTCAAAAAGACCAAAGCCCATGTCCTCATCATCAGACTCTGATTCTTCCTTCTTTGTCTCTTTTTCTTCTGAAAATGTAAAATAATAGTTTGTACCCTCTGTATTTTATGATAACAATTCAATTGAAAAATCGAATTGTCAGAATTATATTTTAACCAGCATGGTTTCCTCAGTCGAAAGATGGTGTTATAGTTAATCATCATATAACAATTATTCAATTTATTTGGGAAGTTATGTAAAATTATGAAAAGAATTTAGGTGAAGTTATGAAAAATTTAGTCATAACTGCAAACTTATTAAAGAAAAAATGTGTGTGTAGCAAAAGAAAAATAAAAGTTTATCCCATGTACCAGCATTCTGTCTGTGAAAAGAGAAGACTTAATGTAATTGATAAGGAGTTTAATTAAATAATTTGGGATTGTATGTCAATGTCTAAAATAATTATCGGTAGCCATGGAAACCATAAAATTGGTGTCATGTATTTTTACAATTCTCACTCATCACTTTCACCAAATGCACGATAAGTAAAGCTTCAAAAAATGAAAATAAATGTAATATCTACTATTAATATAATTGCAATCATATGGATAATGTTTTAAATGAAATAAATAAAGCAATGTCAATATTGTAATAGTAATCACCCTTCTTCTCCTCCTGCGCAGGCGCTGCAGCCGCCACGGCACCAGCCGCCGGCGCCGCTCCGCCCGCCGGCATCGACGACAGCTTCTCGCGACCTGCGGCAACAACCCAGCACTCGCTCACTCACCGCTCACACACACTCATGCACTGAGAGCGCACCACATGGCTTCAGTGATAAGTGTTCACAGCAGGGTCCGTCAGACGAAAGATGGTGTTGTTGGATATTATCATCATTTCATTATTTCCACTTGAACATTTTAATTCCCTCAGAAATAAAAACAATGTAATAATCGTCAAAGCGCTAAACTTTAAGATTATTAGAAAAGACATAGTCAGTCTTAAGATTGTAGAAACAATGATTGAACATATTCTCAAAATTTTTATTACATTGATATATTTAGACTTTTAATCAACATACTACACAACATTAAGTAAAATCAATGTATGTGGGACTTCCTAATGACGAGTGTTTAACGTTACCTTTACTAACTACAATTATTTTAAGATTATATTTATTCCTGAATTAATAAACCTATATTAATGATAATAGAAGAACATCAATAATATACATAAGTGGATAACATTAAGCATTTGATAATTAAATATTGTGTTTCGAAATAATACTACAGTAGTCACACATATTTCTATGTTTAATTGTTGTAAGTTAAATTCTTTCCTATTGCATATGCAATCATATTTAAAATTTTGAAGACAAGCAAAATTTAATACTCACCCTGCGCAATCAGCTCGTCAACGCTCTTTCCATTGAGCTCTGCAATTACTCTCTTCAGTTTCTCAGAATCAGCCTCGATGCCCACGGAACTGAGGATCTTCTCCACGTCTGCGGCAGCTGGGGAAGTCTTACCGCCCAGTACGGCTAACAGATACGCGGCCACGTAACGCATTCTACAAATAACATACGAATCAATGTTAAAACATGTGCATTGAGAAAAAAAAATAATTTCATCAAATACAACTTATTATATCGTGTAACATACGGAATACGCAAATATATTTAGGAAACATTATTGTATAATTCCTTATTAAGCTTTAGGATAAATTAAACTTGCACATAAGTAGCTAGCGCATTGGCAAATCACAAGACTAAGTTTCTTAGGTTCTAAGAATTTCAAAATATAACATTATTAATTTGTATAACAATATGTAACACTTTTTAAACAAAATAGCCGCGTGTTTACCTATCAAGACATGATACTTAAAAATAGTAGTTATGCATTTTTGTTTATCCAAATGAATCTTGGATATTACGATATAATGTAATGTTTTGATGCTTTAAACACTCGACATATTCACTCAAAATCACGTCAGAATATTTATTTCTTTAAAATAACACTTACTTTTAAGTCGTAATGACACGAAACGTGTTATGCCGAAAATTGATGCACACTCGAAGAGATGTCAAATACGAAAAGGCAGACGGGCCGCGGATGATTGACATCATGTCACATGTGTTGCCTATAGTCAAAATTACGTTCCGTTTTTATTTTTTCGTTTCATGATTTCAATATAATGTATAAAAATTAAAAAAAAAAAACTGTTATTATTAATCTGTCTTTAATAAGTATTTTCTTTTCTTTATTTATTGGAACGAAGTTCCTTACGGCAGGCTTGGAGAGGATAGTAGAAGTGGGCGATACAAATCGTATCAGATATGAAAACTAGATATTAGTACAATATCCCAATATCGCTTACTGGCTCGTTCAATATCTATGTATTTTACAATATCTGATATTTCCGAAATCTGATGTACCGTGCTCGCTCGCTATACCGACACGAATCGCGATACGGCGATATCATACGCGTTTGCCACAATATCTGATTTTTAAACAGATTTCGAGAGACAAAGCGCGTGAGATACAAATACTCACTAGTTAGAGCGGAACGGCAAGCAATGCACGATATCAGATATCGAGCGACAAAGCGCGTGAGATATAAATACTTACTAGTTAGAGTGGGACGGCAAGCAATGCACGATATCAGATATCGAGCGACAAAGCGCGTGAGATATAAATACTTACTAGTTAGAGTGGGACGGCAAGCAATGCACGATATCAGATATCGAGCGACAAAGCGCGTGAGATATAAATACTTACTAGTTAGAGTGGGACGGCAAGCAATGCACGATATCAGATATCGAGCGACAAAGCGCGTGAGATATAAACACTTACTAGTTAGAGTGGGACGGCAAGCAATGCACGATATCAGATATCGAGTGACAAAGCGCGTGAGATATAAATACTTACTAGTTAGAGTGGGACGGCAAGCAATGCACGATATCAGATATCGAGCGACAAAGCGCGTGAGAATAAACTTATATAAACACTTACTAGTTAGAGTGGGACGGCAAGCAATGCACGATATCAGATTTTTAAACAGATATTATGAATAAGTTAAGTAATTTTGAATCTTAACTCCATGCAAATAAGATCCGTAAATTTTTTGTGAATATTTTTATTAGCTAAATTTTATTCATATTTTTGGAAAAAAATAAAAGTACACAAAAAGAAAAATATAATTTAATAGTGCTGTGCTGCTTTGGTGGAAATCAGACCAAGGCTTATGTGCTTTGTGTGTATATTTTAAATTCTTCCGCCCTAAGCTATAATACTGAATGTATTATTTCTTACACAAATAATAAAAATATTGCCACTCGATTGCGTGTTCTAAAAATATGTTAAAGTCAATTATTAAGCGGTATATAAGATGTTAAAATAAATCATTTTTATATTACTTCAATTTATATTTTTAATGAAATTTTTAATTTAATAATTTAAAAAAACGCATTTTTAGTAAGACAGGGTTAATTATTAATGATCGTCGAACAAGACTTTCGACGAATAAAGTCAGAGAGCTTACGTTCCTAAACGTGAATTTGAACCCGGAGGGATATAAATAATTATTAACCCTGACATAATTGTAAATATATAATGTTAAGTTTTAAATATAAGGAAAATTATGTACATAGAATGAATCAACTTTTAAATACGCCTGCACAATTTTATAGTCCTAAGCCTGGAAAAAGTATGAAGGGAAGTTATTTCATTCATCTTATATCCACTCCGTTAAAGTATACATTTTTTTTTTTTTTAGAATTCAATTAATCAACGTGGATAGGGAACCGTAAAATATCTAGATATTAAAATACATAGTTTCGAAATCTGATATTTGAAATCGATATCGGATTCAGATACGGTACTCAGAAAAAGCGATACGACCCATCCCTAGAGGATAGGGATTTTGCTGCGCGACGGAACTGAAAAAAATGTGATAGTAAAACCGTAAGAAAAAATCCGTGGAAAAAAGTGCGTGGAATAAAACCGTTAAATGAGACCTGCGCAGGCGCGACAGTCGCATAATTTTATGTTCTCAAACAAAAATAAAGAGACATATTTTGTTATTTTAGTTGATAATTTGAATTACGATGTTTTTTTATTTTAAGTAATTTATTGTTTCCTAAAATACTGAATTTCCTCAATACTTTCTTGTACTTAAATAATAAAATAAAAAATAAAAAATAAATAGAAAAATCAAGAAAACCTACATAAAATTGAGCACGATTTTTTTTGCAATTTGTGTCGATTCTACATTAGCCGAAGGAACTTCGTTCCTACCTGGTGTCCCACGACACCACCTCATTTTTTTAATTTAAAAAAGGTACACCAATAGTACATGTATACATATTATAAAAGTTACATTTTTAAAGCACAATTCCTTATACATATACCTACCTATTATAGGCGTACACAACATTGACAGGAGATATTATATAACAACACAATATTAATCTAAAAAATTGAAAACAATAAAATAATAAAATTCACCAAAGTAAAACTAAAAACTTAACTGAAAACAAATGCCTGTTTACAAAAGGCCGGCAAATTTTCGTTTAAATTTAAACAATGAGTCGTGGAAAATGTCTAATGTTGTATCTTGTATTAACTGATGTTTGTGCTTTCAGTCCAGAGACTGAATAATTAAAGCTTCATCTGACGCAGAACCGGTGGGCTAGCCAGAACCCATTGGTTTGGGCCCTCCACTGTGGGTAGGGCCTCGCATGTGCTAATGCGTGCGTTTAACTACGACATGTCATCTAAGGGCCATCGAAGTAGCGGTGCGGACCGAGACCCCGATGGCCGTCGACTGTGTTTTAGCTAATCGGTGGCTGGGGGCGGTGAGAACCGCCCTGGAACGCGGGTGTACCTTGTGTACGCGTTGTGTTGGTCTCGCCGTGCTCGGAAGCGAGGGCGAACTAATGTGTTTGTTGCTACACTAACTGTGTGTGTAGTGTTATCCGGCGGGACCCCCGACTTTCAAATCGCTGGAGAGCGATTAAACAGCAGATTTTAGAAACAGATTTTGATGTATATTGTAGGTATCTCGATGATTAATTTGTAAAAGCTACCTTAATGGCAAGGGCCTACTATAATGTCCAAGAATACATTGAGGACAAGGATGTTTGGAAATGACTCTTGCTCTGCACTTACAAGACCCCTGGCTGCTGCTGATGTTATACCTAAATAAGTGTGTATAATTGCATCAAAAAAAAAATAACAAAAAAAAAAGACCGCAGAGTTTCTTGCCGGTTCGTCTCTGTGCAGGTCTAGTTTAGTGAACCGGTGGTAGATTTTTTGTTGACGTTCAATAAGAGCTTAAGTTAGGCCTATATTGAATAAATATACATTGACTTTGACTTTGAATTCATTAGTGATTTTTCTCTATCTTTTATTTTTTTTAAAATGCAAATTGCGCTCAATGTGCTGAATACTTGCCAATTAAACAAAATAATTTAGTAACATAAGTATGTTCAATAAATTGTATTTTATACAAAAGTATATAATTAATTGATAGATTTTTTTATAATAGATTTGATATATATATACAAATACATACAATACAATACAATAAGAGAATTTCAAGATATTTTAGTATGAATAGTCATCTGCCGGCAGAATTATGCAACTTGATGAATGTTTTTCACTGCATAGTTTCACCGTCGAACACCAGATGCTACTGTTGAGTTTGAACCATCTTGACACTATTTATATATACATTTTATAGAAATTATATGGCGAATAAAAAAAGAATTTATGGCCTGTACTTATATGGTGCTATAAATTCGAATTTTAATTACAACACAAATAACGTTTTATACCTTTTCCACGAAAAAGTAACAAACTATCTATAGTGTAGTCTCAATATATTTATTGTAATATTTTGTATGTTAAACAGAATATTAATAATTATCAAAAGAATAGTGACAGACATAAACTAAATACTAGAAATAAGGACATACTAACTACGCCATTATTTCGCCTACAAAAAGTAAACAGATCGTTCAGGGGGCAAAGTGTGCGCATGTATAATAAAATCCCACAGTCAATGTTAAGTCTGCCACTTGATGAATTTAAACGAAAAATTAAAAGTACACTTATGGCTAAAGCCTATTATACTATTACCGAATATCTTGACGACGCCAATGTGTGGGGTTAATACTGTTGATACTCACGTAGGCTAAAACAAGACTATTGTACCTGTACTATTATATTGTAAACTGATTTTTTTTAAAAAGAGCAACTTTTGAGTTTCTTGCCGGTTTCTTCTCAACAGAAACTGCTTTCCGAACCGGTGGTAACTTACGAACGTGTTAATTTCTTGTAAAATTTTGACGTTTCATAAGAACGCGCAAGCGTCTATGTGAATAAAGATATTTTATTATTTATTATTATATAGTGAGTAAATACAGTCTGAGAAAAAAAAAACAGGTGTTTAACATTAAAGCCATGAGCGTCTGCCGAGGGGTAGAAAAAAAGGATCAGTCGCTTTATGGTCCTCAAGTGCAAGGAACACTAAATAATGCAAACTAGTAAATAATGCAAAAAAAACA